ACCTCAACAGGAAGAACACAACCATTAAGGCCTCTGATTAATCAAACCCCATTTCCAGCAGAACTAGGGTTTTTCTCTAGGGGTTTCCTAGTTAAAAAGGGATCAGCTGTCCTTGACTCGCTGGGAGGATGGAAAAGCACAAGTGGAGCTCATTTCATTACTGAAGAATTCTGAAGGTGTGAGCAGTGTCTGTGCTCACTTGGATGTGCCACGTGCAGGCAAACTTGGGTCCTGCAGAGCTGAGCTCTGGGTGTTGGGGAACTTCTCCCTCAGGGCCCCTCAAACACCCACGGATTGGAATCCCATCCCTGCATTATACCATGGACTTCTGCCTGCTGAGGATGAAGGGGATGAGTTTGAACATAATTAGATCCCTAGCAGATCTGTATTTATTTTGAGATGAACATCTCAAGGTGTCCTGGTTTGGAAAAGGTTTTCTGGTGGTGCTGAAGAACAGAGAAGGCTTTTTTTAAAGGCTCAATATTAAATAGTTTTGACTTAATAAAGTACTTTACTGCTGTTCCATCCAAGGTTGAATTTGATGATCTTGGAGGTCTTTTCCAGCCCTAAGGATTCTGTGATTCCCTTTCCAGCTTGCCTTAAGATCAGTGAATTCCTCCAGGTCAGCATATGCCTATGTGTTCTTCTCATCCATGTTTTTCCAACATTACTGCTGGACAGCTGTGCCTGAAGCCTGTCAGAAGGAAAAGCAGCTGTCCCTTCCCAGTAAACTGCTAGTTAAGGTACATTTTAATGGGCTGTTACCCCAATTTCTAGGTGGAATTACGGGGGAGGTCAGAGGGGTGAGGATGCCTCTGGACTGGACTCCAGTGCTCCTGAGCCATCCTGCAGAGTGGGCAGTGGTTGGTTGGGTTTAGAGCTGTTCCTCCTGAGCTGTGCCCTGTGGTTCCCAAAGCCTGAACCAGCCTAATCCTTGGGGGAAGGAACACCACATTGTGCCTGGAGCCTTCAAAGCCAGTGATGAGCCAGGAGAGCTTTGCTGGTTGCTCAGTGATGTGCTGGCTCCACACTGGAATGCTGGCTGAGGATAGCAAGGATCATGGCAAGGATTGTGGTTTGCCTCAGTGTGCCCTGCAGAGCACTCTGGGGAGCCACGAGTGCAGGAGCTGGAGGTAAACTGCTCAAAACCAGGGAAATGATGGTGCAGTTGCCTGTGAGTAACCTCTGCCCTGCTTTGTCTTTCCTGCAGTCAGTTCTCCCTGTATTTAGATGTGTCAATGTACTGGGAAGGAATGTAGAGAGATGCAGCATCTCCATCAGCCCCCAGGACCATCACATCACCTTCCAGTTCCTCTGCAGACACGGTGGGTTCCTCCTGAGCTGACCGTGCAGTTTAGAGCCACAGCACAACACTCCAATGTGGTCATTACTGAGTGTCACTGATGAGACATTTTGCCAAACACCTTCAGCCTCTTCCCATCGTGTTAATTTTTATCTCATCTCATGGTTAAAGGGAAGTTCTAACAGGCTTTGTCAGGTGAACGTTCCTCAGCTCAGCTGTCAGTGTGTGCTACGTATCAGATTTTTGTTCCTCCCCTTCTCTTAGGTGTTGTAAAAACCTACAACCTGACATTTCAAGACTGTGACCCTTTGCAGGCTGTTTTTGCCAAGGACCTGTGCCCAAACGTTCTCAAAGTTCACTCCAGGTACCAAACACCAACATAGTTGTTGAGTTTTACTTCCCAGTGTAAGTAACAGATACCAATGGTGATTTGTGGCAGGTGGAACTCCTTTCATGCTGTTTTCCAGGCTCCTGGCTGAGGCAGTGGTTCACTTCCCAACCAGTCAGGAAGAAATAACCTTAGCAGTTACTCCAAGCAAAGTTTGTTTCAAGAGTTACACTGAGGAAGACACTGGTAAGGAAACTCACACTATGCTCCAATATTGGGACCTGAAACAGGTGAACTAAAGGATAACAACCATCACAATACAAACATTTTAGGGCTGAATGGCACTGTCAGAGAGGGAACATACAGAGAGAGATCTGAAGTCACGTTCTCCCCCTCTGGCTGTAATAACTCCCAGGAAGGAATGTCTTTGCTAAGCTTTCCTGGTGCAGGGGCAGCTGTCAGGCTGAGCAGCCAGTGGAAGTAAACGATGCCACTTGCTGTAGGCTGGAAAGAGGTAATTGCTGTGCTGCAGGAGCAGCTGCCAGGACAAAGGAGATAATTTTGTGTATTACACAGAACTGTTTGACTGTGGATGCATCATTGGAGGAGTGTTTGAGTGGAGAGCAGTGCAGTGTCAGCTGCCTCACCCTGCCCTGGTCATGGCTCTGGAGCAATCCACAGGGTCTTGGGGTGACCCAGACTGATTGAAAGCTATAACTGAGTTTCTGTGAGGCTCTTGTGTATCATCATACCACAGAGAGACACTTTTCATCCTGGCTATGGCCAAAGCTGTCACTCATGGGGTGACTGGCACTGGGAGCTGAGAGGGAATCCCATGGCTGCAGCAGGTTAGATCTCACACGGAACACCCATTTCAGTCTGCACAATGCACTGCAAATTGAGTTCAATGCTGAAATCTGTGTGTAACACGATTCTCTGTTCAAACTGTGCTGATGTAGAGGGTTATAATCAGAGTTCAGTTCAAACTTCACTCCTGAGTCCCTGACCTTGTGGTTGTCTCACCCAGACTTTGCCAGGACGATGCTCACTGAGATTCAGCTCAGTCCAGAGGAATTTGACTACTTTCAAGTTGGAGTAGAGTCTGAAGTGACATTTTGCCTTAAAGAATTGAGGGTACAGTAAGACTTTGTCTGGAAAATAAACCATTTCCCACTAAACTTGCATGGCTGGGTCAGGGCAGTGCAGGGTGGGCCTAGCTGAGCTCACCAGCTGCTGCAGGACTGGGAGCCCCAGGACACTGCAGAGCCCTCAGCAGCTTCTGGAAGGCAAACAGAACACTTCTAACACAAAACTAGCCTCCAGCTGGGCAGACACAGCTGCCCTGGAGAGCACTGTGGCCATGGAAGTTCTCTGAGCAGAACCTCCTCAGGCAGGGAGGGCAAGAAATGATTCCAGTAGCTGCAGACTTTGCCCTCCCCTTTGCCAGTCACCAGCAGCTGGGATAAACTGACCTGCTAGTATGAGTCTTCTTAACCCCCAAGCCCTTCCTTGCAGGGGCTGCTGGTGTTTTCTGAAGCCACTGGTGTTCCTGTGTCCATGCATTTCGACAGCTCTGGGAAGTAAGTGCTGGTTCCTGCTAGAACCTCTGCGGGAGCTCAGTGAACCCCGAGCGGTTTCCACCCCGGGATCCTGAGGACTGTGTTCACTGGCATTCCCAAGGAGTTACCTGGATGAGGCTCAGCTTAATTCATGCAATGAGTCATTTAGCAGCCTAAAGAAATGAGCATTGGCTGGTTTGGGCAGTGACCCTGCACCACCTCCCCCTCCCCAGCAGCCAGTGATGGGATTCACCTTCCAATCCTCATGCAGAACTGTCTCCCCCCACGGGGCCTGTCACTCCCTGTGCTGTTTGTGTTGGTGTTTGTGTTCAGGCCCATTGCTTTCAGCGTGGAGGACGTGGTGCTGGAGGCCAGCCTGGTCCTGGCCACGCTGTGTGAGGTGGAGAAGGAATCGGAGCCGCGGCGCCGGGACAGGTGAGGGAGGAGGCAGGTGATTTCAGAGGGTGACAAACCCAAGTTTTCACGGGGAAACTGAACTGGAGGAGTTCAGGAACAGCTTGGCAGCACACACAGAAATAAGGGGGTGCAAGAGAGAGCACTGGACTATCTGCTGCCTTCTCCTTCTCCATGGGGTTTGGGGGCAGCAGGAGGAAAGGGAAGACCCTGGCAAGAGTCTAATGAACAGAAAACAAGGATATTCTAAGGAGAACACATAAACCAGTCCCTAACCTGACCTGCTTTGTCCAATCCAGCTCTGAGGCACGGATGGGCCAGGCTGGACACCCCTCCAGAGGAGAAAGCACCAACACAGACACAGCTGCTCCCCAAAAGCCACAGTGGAATGGGAACACTCCGAGTGCAGACTCTGTGAAAACCATCAGTGCTTTGGCAAACCAGGAGGGGAAAACCATCCCCAGAGCCACAAAGAGGGACGTGACAGGCAGAGCAGGACCAGCCACGGCAGAGGCAGCCCCAGCCACGGCCGAGGCAGCACGAGGAGAGGCGACGGAGGCTCCCTGTGAGGTGAGAAGCCCCCACACTGTGGGCAGGGAGCACCACCAGCAGCCTGGGGATACCTCGTGGTGGCATTTCCCACGGCCTGTGGGGGCTCAGTGGCAGCAGCTGGCGCAGGCACCACTGCCA